GCCCTGCGTGGGTTGAGCACCGCCGCCGTGTCCTTAGGAATGTAATCGGGGACGGCGACCTCTCGCGTCTGGCTCTAGTTCAAACTATGATACGGAGCGAGGGAGATTGGGATGCCGTCTCTGACTACTGATGTTCCCTAGTAAAAAAAATGCCAGAGACTCACGTGTAAATGAGTACAACAAAATAGTAGTATACGTAGTATAGTACATAGCTACATAGGGTTTTAAAGGCACTAAACACACTTCAACTATAATATTGTGTAGGTAAATTAAAAAATTCAACTGCCGTGCTTTAATGCAATTATTTCAGTCTACGACCGTGAAACGATCAGTGATATCAGTTAATAATAAAAACGAGGAAATGGAAAGATTTATACTATATCATCACGCGTTCTTTTTCCAGAGATTTTTCGTTTAAATATATTAAAACTCTTTGGCAGTCCTCTTCCACGACTGTTTTAGTATCTATAGGTAAATGCGATGAACTCAAAAAGTACGGGACGGATTTTTGTACGGTTTTTACCATTATATAGTGTCATTCCTGAGGAAGGATTAGGCGTATTAATAATTTGTACAAAATTCTAAAATAGATACTTCGTCAAACCTGGCAATAATATCCAAAACACATAACCTATTTTGACAATTGTATCGCACTTATACCAATGTTCATAGTCGCGGAGAACCTAACGGGTAACCGGGGCTCCGGCTCGACGTGCAGGAGAAGGAACGGGCTGGTTTTTAGTCAGTAAGAGTCTGACACTCCCTTCCGCCTCACCCAGGCGGGAGCAGTCATTCGATGATCTTCCCCCCTTAAAAAAAAAAAAAAAAATACCAATGTTCATATGTACTTACTATGTACCTGCTTTGGCACGAATGGACCAGCTTGACCGGAGTGATACCACGGCCAAGCAGAAAACCGTCATGATACAACAGTCGTATATTATCTATACTATTTGTGTAGGTACATAAACTAGTAAATAAATAAACATTTATGTTGTGTTTCGTCGTGTGAGTGAGGTTACCGGAGGCCCAATTATCGCCCGCCCCAAAAGGCCGGCAACGCTCTTGTAAAACCTCTGGCGATCCGGATGTCCATGGGCGGTGATGAATGCTTACCATCAGGTAATCCGTCTGCTCGTTTACCGGCTTATTACATATCAACATAACATAAAATAAAATAACCATAGTGTACTAACTCTCATTGCGTATGCTGCACATGGCACTTTTAACTTCGGCTATAAAGTCAGGTTGCAACAATAATAGAATGTAGTAAGAACTGGATTACACATCTTGGCAGTCTCTTGCCATCTAATGTAGAAACAAAACAAAACCTTTTAGGAAGAGAGGTGAATTGCCTAAGAATAGATACATATATTATGTACTTTTTTTTAAGGGGGAAATCATCGAATGACTGCTCCCGCCTGGGTAAGACTCTTACTTACTTACCCCGCTCCTTCTCCTGCACGTCAAACCGGAGCCCCGGCTACCCGTTAGATTCTCCGCGACTCCGAATCGGCATCAGCCCTATTGAGCTCTATCCGTGGTGGTCTGATGGCTCTTTGAGGCGCGCGCGGATTGCGACGCGCCGTTCGCTCGGGTTACATATACGTACTAGCATCTGCCCGCGGTTTCTCCCGCGTTTCCGTGGAATAAAAAGTCTATGTTATTCCAGACCATAATCTATCCCTGTCCCAAATTGCATCCCGATCTCTTCAGCCGTTTTGACGAGACTGCGTACCAATCAAACTCACAAAGTTTCATATTTATAATATTAGCAAGGTTTTCAGTATTAAGTGGTTCTAAATATAACCTATCTCTATGCCATAATTCATCTAAGTTGATGAAGTACTTACTGTCCGAAATCTAAACAAAATAAGGTTCCCTGTTGGACTGAACTACTGCCTCTACTATGGCACGCTACATCATCTCTTGCCTTCTTATAGCGTAGCATATTATTATAACTTACAAAATCCAGATGATGACTGCCTCGGCCGAGTGGCAGGGCAAGGAGTTCGATTCCCAAGTCGGGCCAAATATTACTGGGATTTTTAAATGTATCCCAGTAGTAGCTCGGAGTCTCGAATTAATTTCGGTATATGGCAGTAGGCTAACCCCTATTACGTGAGACTCATAACATAAATGATGTTATGTGTTAAAATCCAGACTCTGTGATATCTACTTCTGAGGTTTTTCAGGAATAATAAAAACGAAGCAACCACGTCAGATACTTGTTTTCTTTTTACAACTGAGTGAAAAACTAGTAGAGAAGCAGTGTAAAATATAATTATTTTCAAGAAATCTGGGATCTCTTGTTTATATTTTTTATATACTCTATGGTTTAATGCGTTTATAATTTAAATGAAAAAAAAATATGTACAACAAAACTAAGAAATACATCCAAAGACATAATAAAATATATTACTGTAAACAAATACAATTACTAGTTGTACATGTATTGTAAATAAAACAAATACTTAGATATACATAGTAAAGTTAAATACTTAAAAACAAATAAAGTAAATGGATATAGTGTGTAGCTGCTATGTGTTTTGCAATCATGTTAAACATACATAGAAATATATTACAGGGAATTGCAATTTATATTCTGGAAAATATTTTTGTCATATTATAAATAAAGTATTTTAGCCAGTTGCCTTTAAAAGTATGATAATCAAATTAATGTCAAAAGCCCATGACTATCCATTAGCCGGTAATCGAGCAGACGGATCACCTGATGGTAAGCAATCGGCGTCGACCATGGACACCTGAAACACCAAGGCGTTACACTTGTAAAGGAATTAGGAATTTGAAAATTGTGGAGGATTCGGGGATTAAGGAGATTGATATTTATCTTTAAATCACACAGGTAACTATGTTATAATTTAAGCCCCACAAAACCGTTACAATTGTTGTTTCACGTCGGTTTTCTGTAAGGCCATGGTATCACTCCGGTCGAGCCGGCCCATTCGTGCCGAAACATGGATCTCCCACTCTTACGTATATGTAGGAATGGTCACAAAGGTTAACTGTTTATTAAGTAAAATCTGCTTCAGTCGCCACACGACTTAATAATATACAGGGCTCATAATTATACCATAACATGTAATACTTAGTTTTTATTATATTGTTAATTAACAGTACCTACGTGTGTCGACATTATGTTATAACATAACTTGTGCATTTGTTCATTAAACACAGCATTATGGTGTTATGGTTGTATCACGTGTTTCAGTGATGTGTAAATGTTTGTAATAATTATTATTATTGCATGTTAACGTGTACCGGCCCTGTGTGGAGTTTGTGCGAGATAAATACATAGCTTCTTTTTTTTAATTTTTCTTGGACATCCATAATAGATAGGTAACTTAAAATTACGAAAATTCATCAAATAGGTATGTAGTAGTAAAGTTTTCTTATGACGTAAGTCTGTTAAAGAGCAGACGGATCACCTATGGTAACCAATCGGCGTCGCCCACCGCGACACCTGGAACACCAGAGGTGTTACAAATGCGTTACCGACCTTTTGGGGATTAGGAGTTTAAGAATCGTTGGGGGTTCAGGGATTGGGGAAAGGGCCAGGGGTATTGCGCCTCCGGTAATCTCAATACACGTTTTAACAAAGTTGCGACCAGCGATTGATTCGCAATCTATAGCACCTGGACTCTTCATTCCTAGTGTGATATTACCTTCTTCATTTGGTGCCAGTTCATTACTGAAAGTTGTTTGTCAGCAACCGAAAATGATGCAATAAAACTTGCACATTTTATAAGTACATTAAACACATACAAAAAAAACCTTATATATATTTCAGGAGTCCCATTTTTGTACAAACATGAAACAATATAAAAACACCTAATCTAGATCACGGTACCAAGTTACACTTCTCACGAATATGATCACATTGCATTGTAATCTGCTTTTTCCTACATTTTTTGCAAGCGTTTGTGTTGCAAAAACGTTTTTTTGTGAAACCATTGACATTGCAAATACGCTTACGACCCGTTTACCGTGAAATAGCCTTTATTGAGGGGGCAAAATCATCAAATGACTTCTGTCACCGTAGGTGAGGCGAGAGAGTGTCAGACTCTTACTGACTAAAAACCACCCCGTTCCTATTCCTGCTTCCCCGGTAACTCGCAAGATTGTCTACAGCCCCAGAGATACTTTAGCCTACAGACATCTGCACAATTTTACATCATGCAAATGCTGACCCAACAAATTTCGTACCGCCAAAAATTTTTATTACTCATTTTTAAACCTTCCCTGGACTTCCACGAACACTTTAAGACTAAAATCAACCAAATCCGTTCACCCGTTCTCGAGTTTTAGCGAGACTAACGAACGAAAATTCATTTTCATTGATATAGATGACGATAATTAATTACAAACCCTATTAAAATCATCATCAATGGTGCACCGAGGACTATGGACCTCCTCAACATAAAAGGGTTTGCCATAATCTCCGTGCTTGGCAGATAGGTTAGAGGTAACAGTTAGTCGAAATGGTTCTAACCCTATTGTTGTGTCGCGGAGAACCTAACGGGTATACCGCGGCTCCGGCTCGACGTGCAGGAGAACGGGGTGATTTTTATTCAGTAAGAGTCAGACACTACCTCCCGCCTCACCCAGGCGGGAGCAGTCATTCGATGATTTCCCCCCTTAAAAAAACCCTATATTTGTGGGATCCTGAAGTTAGACTGTTAAAATCAAAGATCAATTAATTGGTTTTAATAGTTGCACTGGCAACCATTAGCAAGGCAGTTAGTTATGCAATAAGTTAAAATTACTTTGTGTCTTTCCTTATGTTTAACTACGCAGTCAAATCTTGTATGTTCAATTATTTTACAGCAATGAATATTTTTATACATTATTTTATTATATAATTGGTTTCATATAATTGGTTTCATTTTGCCTACATCTTCCTCTCAAAATAACCGCATTCGTCTTTCAGTCCAAATATAAAACAAATCTCTAATACTGATGTTTTTTATTTATTCCAGGATATGGGACTTCCTAGCAGAGCAGGCTCGACGAGGAACCACCGTTATCATCACGACACATTACATAGACGAAACGAAACAAGCACACAAGGTCAGTTCCTAAATAAACAGCAATAACGTCTGCAGCACCCTCGCTTACGTCCTAGTTGATTCTCTTATAACAATTAGTTCATCATGGATGTGAAATGTTTTTGAAACAAACCACAAGATAAGACCCATGACCTGGTAGCACTAAATACTTTTTTATTCTTATATTTGTAACATTAACTGATACAGATATATTAGGTTAGATAACTCCTTAATTTTCTTCATGTCTCCAAAACGCAGCTTCCTAATATATGTATGAAAAATTGAGAGAATGTTATTTCTACATACATACGCCTGTCTCCCATGACCAGGCAGAGACTATGGAACGCCAATTGCTAAGATTCTTACATACCTCTTTCGCTTCTTCACCAATTATTAGTCTTATACTACGATACTCAGAGATATTAAATTATTAGTTAATCTATTCCTTGGTAACGATTTTGTTCGTAAAATAATGGCTAAGGACTAAGTTAGGTAGCTATTAAGGTGCTCCCTCACCGGGAGCCCTTTAAATGACTCTGAGTACAGCGGTTAATGCATATTCGTCGGATAACGGTACTCTTAATTTGGGCCTTCCTTAATGTAATCCAATCTAGTCAGTATATTCCCGTCTAGGGCGCCCTCTACCGACGGCCGCAAAACCTTATGTCTAATATATAAAAATAGCCACAATTTATCCATAACAGAAAAAATGAAGCTATCAGAGCAATTAATGTAAATACTACCTTCCATGCAAGATTACGTTGTCACAATAGAAGTATAGTGGGCTAATTAATTGTAATTACTGCTCGCACGGCGCGCTCGTTAATAACGAGGATAATTAGAGTTGCTTGACGATGACGATCAGAACTCTTTGTAGAAATAATTCTTTCATAAACTACGTTTAAACAAAAAACGTCCAAATAAAAAATTAATACACTTAAAACCTTCTTCTAAGTGTAACAAAGACTTTTCTCAAAACTGCATTTTTTTAAGGCATAATCCGGAAAACTAGATGGTACACCTAAAACACAAGAGGCGTTACAAGTGCGTTACCGGCCTTTTGGGGATTAGGAGTTTGAGGATCGTTGGGGATTCAGGAATTGGGGGGATTAGGGAAGGGGACGGTAATTGGGCCTCCGGTAACCTCACTCACACGACGAAATACAACGCAAGCGTTGCTTCACGTCGGTTTTTTGTGAGGCCGTGGTATCACTCCGGTCGAGTCGGCCCATTCGTGCCGAAGCATGGCTCTCCCACACTTAAATCGGTTCAGCCAATCGCGAGATATTCGCGCACAAACATACAAAGATACATTCATATAGGTCAACATGCTGCAAGAAGTTCCTTCTTTTTTTAAAGTCGGTTAACTGTCTCAGAAAACTCATGGTTTGAAATGGAACGTGGATCAACAGCATAGGACTAAAATTATTTCCGACACTAGCGCCATCTACTCCGTGCAAAAATTAATTAAAAACGTAATGTCCAATTTCAATTTTTTACACTGTTCCTTCAGATCGGTCTCCTCCGAGATGGTCAACTATTAGCGGAGGACTCCCCCGAGGATCTATTGAGGAAGTTCGACTGTGACACTCTTGAAGAGGCGTTCTTGAAACTGGCGATGAGACAACACGAGATGCCAAGGAGACGATCCAGTTAGTATTTAGACACTTTTTAATATTTGCCTTATAATTATTTTTTTTTCAACGGGACCCATTAATATGTGCTTTGTGGCAAAAAATTGTTTAATATTTAAATAATCATTATAATTAATGATTATTTAAATACTAAACATTTTTTCTTTTATCGGTCAAAGTGATTAGAATACACATACATAAAATCACGCCTTTTACCCCCTAAGGGGTAGACAGAGGTGCACATTATGGCACTTAATGCTACTGTACAATGTAACACCCATTTTTCACTATTTATGTTATGAGTCCCATGTAATAGGGGGTGATCCTATTGCCATATACCGGGCACAATTTCAGATTCCGTGCTACAACTGAGAGTTTTAAAAAACCTAGTAATACTTTGCCCGAACTAAATCAAACCCGAGACCCGTTGTCCGGCAATCGCACTTGCGACCACTCGGCCAATGAGGCAGTCAATGATTAGAATAATAATTTATAATCTTACGCTTAATTAATTTAACCCTTTGAGTACCGTCATTATAGACACAATTAAAGAACAATAGGTTGCGGTCACCGGTGTCCTCGCGGTGTTTGACAGTATAATACTTGTGACGCCATCTATTTTTTTACCGTCGAACTATTCTATGATGTTCATTATACACAAATTAATGCCTTTTCCATCTACAGCTCTAACAGCATCCCCGGACGTGATCCCGGACAGCAGTATGTGTACGGGAGTGGACAGTCGGTACCACTCACGAGACGACTTCCCCACCATTACCAGCAGCACTGATGTTAGTATCATGACAACATTATACATTTATAAAGATCTTATGAGTTTTTTCTTTAAGTTTAACGTAACATAACATAACATCACGCCTTTTACTCCCGAAGAGGTACGCAGAGGTGCACATATTATGCCACTGTTCAATGTAACACCCACTTTTCACTATTTTATGTTGTGAGTCCCATATAATATGGGGTAAGTCTATTGCCATATACTGGGCAAAATTCCAGACGCCGTGCTAATACTACTACTTGTCCTGACCCGGGAATTATTATTATTATTGTATTATTTATTGATCTTTAAATCACACAGGTAAGTATCTTATAATCTAAGCCCCACAAAACCGATGCAAGGCCCCTTGCCCGGCAGACGCACTTGCGACAACTCGGCCAACGAGGCTTTCTTTGAGTTTAACTATTTTAATAACATACGTTTAAATATCTACTGTACCTTCAGTGGCGTATCTAACTATACCGTTCGGGATCCGTGGCAATTTCGTAAGATGGGCTCCCGTACCCAATAAAAAACTTCAAATGAAAACCTGATGAAGTGGGTTCCAGCTGGGGGGCCCGTGGCATTTCGTCTACTTGCGACCCTGTAGTTACGCCACCGTCTACCTCGTTACTCCAATAGTGTGCTTTCTAAGTACGACATTCATAAGCTGTATGACTTTGAACCTTTTCTGTAACAGCGTGAAGTTTGGAATCGAGTGTAGCAATAGATAAATCCTTCATATTCCTTCTTCGCTACCCTTGTCTTACGTAGCAAGAATAGTCATTCCTGCAGATAGATGATCTCCTAATGTGAGGACATCTACCTGCCCCTCTCTTTGCGACAAATATTAAAATTACTCCTATATATATATATATTAGTCCTATATATATTTTTCTGTTCATAGTTTTAAGCAAAATAATGTATTATTATTATCTAGTTAATAGTCTAGCATAATTCTACTTTAATATAGTAATAAAAAAACATATTGTAAGTGGAGTACATTCAAATAAATTATTCTATTCTATTCTATTCTATTCTATTCTATTCTATTCTATTCTATTCTATTCTATTCTATTCTATTCTATTCTATTCTATTCTATTCTATTCTATTCTATTCTATTCTATTCTATTCTATTCTATTCTATTCTATTCTATTCTATTCTATTCTATTCTATTCTATTCTATTCTATACTCTTTTCATAATTTAACAAAGAATAAGTTGTACGATAATGAATCTTCTTGTATTTCAGGTGTTAACTAAGAAAGACAAACTAAAGGGCAACAAGAAGTTAACAAAGTCCCGGTATAAAGCAGTATTCATCAAAAGTATACAGCAGTTCGCCAGGCATCCTGGGTAAGTGGAAACCATACAGCTACCCTGGATAATTTGCCAAATCTTTTTCCACTGATATTGGTCTATGTTCATCTCATGGTGCTTTATGGCAAACATCAAAATAGGTTATAAACGTAATAGTGTGAAAATCAACAACAACATACATAACAGGAAGGGGTAGGCAGAGGTGCACATTACGCCACTGTACAATGTAACACCCACTTTTCACTATCTATGTTATGAGCCCCATGTAATAGGGGGTGAGCCTATTGACATATACCGGGCACAAGGGGGTGAGCCTTGACATATGCCCGGCAGTCGCACTTGCGACCACTCAGCCAACGAGGCAGTGTGAAAATCAGTCCTTTTAAGATATAAGTAGAGATGAAGTAATAAATACACAACTATGTTAAGTTGGTAGACAATAATAGCCTTTCTGTTCCAGTGGTCTAATATTCTCCATCCTGTTCCCCATCATCCAAGTGGTAGCATTCTTCGCGGCCGTGGGCCACGACCCGCGAGATCTACAGATTGGAGTTGTCAACGATGAAGCCGCTTTCTCACCATGTATGTATATCATTTTTATTCGGTAATTGGATTGAGAACAAAACATTTGCTTTCAAGCCTTCAGAGATACTAGGAAAACGAGTACAAATTCATTCGTTTTTCCTTTCATTTTCTTCTCTAGATTCTTCTTAGGATCATCGTCTAGAATAATTTGGACTAAAAACCCAACAAAGAAGTTTTTCTTTTCTTCTTTTAAAAAACGTTGCCCCACACTAGGATTTTCTCCTGTATCGTGTGTGCGTTTACAAACATACAAGTTCACATACACATGACACCCAGACACAAAACAACAATTTTGTGGATCACATAAAGAGTTGTTCCGTGCGGGAATCGAACCCAGCCACCGGGCCAACCGTGCAGTCAGCAGGCAAGTTAGTTCAAGGATATTTGGTTATACGGAATATACGACCTTCAGACCTTCAAAGAGAAAGCCCTCCTAAAAGGCAGACAACGCATTTGTACTGTCATACTGATCAATTACCATTAGCAGAGCAGCTCGCCCGGTTGTAATAGGAATTTCCCAGAAATTAATAGGAATTTCCCCCTTCTAATAGGAATTTCCCAAAGGGATATCCAACTCAAAATAAAAAGAACAAGTTGTTTGTTTGTTCACTTCGAAATATTCTTCTTTCTACTCTCCAGTTGGCTTGAAGATCTGCAGTAACACGAGTCTAGTGACGACAGTACTACAGGAGGACGAGACCTGCGACCTGTACATGCTGAGCTGCTGGTTCTTAGAGGAAATGGAGAAAAAGATGCTGTTCCCTGTAAGTAGACCATTCTTTGATTCCATATCGTGTCTACACTATTTATGTCATTTCAGATATTTTTTTCTTTTTATAAAACGTTGCTCCACACTAGGATTTTTTCCTGTATCGTGGGTGCGTTTACATACAATGACACCCACATCCGGAACAACAATTTGTGGATCACACAAAGAGTTGCTCCGTGCGGGAATCGAACCTGTGACACGTTGCACGGCAGCCGGTTGCCCAGCCACCGCACCAACTGTGCATTCGATTACTATGTCAATAATTTATTAACCTAATCCTACAACCCTTACCGCTTAATTTAAATCCTCAAACTCCTAATCTCCAAAAGGCCGGTAACGCACTTGTAATGCCTCTGATATTCCAGGTGTCCATGGGCGACGCAGATTGCTTACCATCAGGTGATCCGTCTGCTCGTTTATCGGCATATGCCATAAAAAAGAAACAAAAAAATGCCATACCATAATCAGTCACACTCACAATCACAGATTTACTCCAAATTGGGTCTAAATTGCTCCAAATTGGTCAAAACTCCAAATAGCACTCCAAAGTGCTTTTTTCGAAATGTCAAAAACTAGTTTTCTATGAATTTTTTACGAGATCGTGTACTGTGCAGTCATGGTTTTTTAACGTAAAACAACACTTATTTCTTAAACAGTTGCTGTAAAAAAGTACTAAAATTAAGTTGGTAAAAAAAAATAATAAAAGTGTGATTATGTGATTATTTTTTTATATTTTATTAATTGTATAATTTATTTTTGAATAAGACAGGTTTCAACCCAGTTGAGTTATATTTTTTTATGGCTCAACCGGTAAACGAGCGGACTATATTACCGAGAACATTGAAAACGTTGGTTTTTTACCAATCACAATCAATTCATCTCAAAAAACAGACCTCCTTCATTTCCTCTACCATCAAACTGCGACCGTGTTCCTATGAAGACAATTGATATCAAATAATAATCTTTTTAAATGTCGTGGTGGCCCGTAGGTTTAAGACGCCCACTTCTCATGCATGAGGGTGCGGGTTCGAAACCTACTAACGGCAAGTAGCAATGTGATTTTTCCGAGTTATACGTACTTTCTAAGATTATTTAGACACCACTGACAAACGGTGAAGGAAAAACATCGTGAGGAAACCTAGACTTATAATTTCTAATTATAAGTTTCAAATCGCCAACCCGCATTGAGCAAGCGTGGTGATTAATGCTCAAACCTTCTCCGTGTGAGAAGAGGCTTTGCTCAGCAGTGGGCATTTATAGGCTGTTGATGATGAATAATCTTTTAATTTCAGACTGTATTCAACTCCACGGAAGAAGCTCGCAATGCAGTAGCGACGGGCAAGTTGTACGGAGCGCTACATTTCTCGAGGAACTTCAGTTCAGCGCTCGGCAAGCGAGTGGCCGACGGAGAAGTCGATGACGATATCGTTGAAGACAGCAGTGTCAGCGTCTGGCTGGATATGACGAGTGAGTTGTCTACATTATATTTTTATTTAAATTAGCTTTTCCCTGCGGCTTCGCTCGCGTCACAAAAGGATAAAAAGTAGCCTATGTGACATATACCAATACACAGCGCCATCTATACTAATACTTTTGTTTTGCCTCGAGAATATCAAATTTTTCCGGGCTAAAAAGTACCATATTATTTAATCCGGACTTCTAACTTTACGTCTGCAAAAATTAAAAAACTGGATAAGTATCTATAATATCCATAATATCTTAAAAACTGGATAAGTCGTTTTTCAACCCTATTACTATATACATTAGGTGTATTATACATAACTACGTTGTATCTCAGACCATCAGATCTCCAACTTCATGAAGACTCAGCTCCACAAAGCGTACGAGAGCTTCACGCGACGCGCCATGATAGCGTGCGGCAGACCTGACAATTTAGTCCAGGTATGTTACTTATAATTGGGTAGTTTCCAGGGTATCAAAATTAAAAATCTAATTAGTCCGTCAGTTAGATAATGAAAAAATATTAGACACGTATTTTTTTATTTTCTCGTATAAGGTTGCAATACTTAGATAAAATGGCGCTAAGTTTAGGAGTGGAAGGTCGTTACGTCATAACGTGCTACAAAATGTGGCACGCTGTGACGTTACACGATATTTCAAATTAATATATCGTCGAAAGTATTTAATTTTGTGAGAAAAGAAAAAATACGTGTCTAATGTTTTAAACTAATTTACCAGACGGACATTAAATAGGAAACTTCCCTGTTAAACTAAGCATTTTTATAATAACTATCGTGAGACGTGAGACATGAACTAAAAATTACAAGTTACTCACGTGAATATACGGAGCCGCGGAGGACTTAACAGGTTGCTGGAGCTCCGGCTCTAAGTGCAGGAGTAGGAACGGGGTGGTTTTTAGTCAGTAAGAGTCTGACACTCCCTCCCGCCTCACCCAGGCGGGAGCAGTCATTGGAAGATTGCACGATTTTTCCCCCTAAAAAAAATGGCTGCGCGACATCGCCGCTAACGCGCACGCTACTCGCTACCGAGCTTCACTGACGGACTGACTGACAGACTATTATTTATTTTGTATTTGTTGACGTTTAAAAAGTACCAAATTATGGTTTAATTGAAATACATAAATGTTGTGACTTTGACTTTAACTCATGAGGAAGAGTCCCTCTATGACTCGAAACAAGTAGAGCTTTTCTCAGTACATTTATGTGAGTAACTCGTAATTTTTAGTTAAGCATTAATTGTTATGATATATCCATGCATTTTTCACTATAATATTATTTATTTATTCCTTCTATAACCATTCGTGTAGCTATCGTAAGATATTTTATTATCATTGGCTCATTATTAAACTTAAAACTATAATCTGTTAGTGGAACTCATCAATGTATTCAATTCAAGACACTAGTACAATTTATAACTTCCTTCAGTCTAAACATAATGAGAGATAAATTATAGTTTTTGCTTTATAAATACCACCTTTTTTATAAATCTACTTACATTTATCATTTCTTATGCACCACTGCTTCAGACTTCAGATTATATAGCACATCATCACCACCATCATACATTGATATATGTTATGTACATCATTCATCAGTAAGTATTTATACATTCAAGTATTTATTTGTACTCATATCGCGACTTCGTTCGCGTGGAATTGTGATTCACAGCTCCTCCCCCGTAGATGATAGCGTGATAATATGTAGCCTATATGTTGACCCGACCTGGTAGTAATATTCATGTAAAATTTGAAGTAAATCCATGCAGTACTTTTGGAGCTCATCCCGGAAATACATACAGACAAACAGACAATAATTCTAAAAACGATATTTTTGTCTTCGGTATCGATTGTAGATCACGCTTCAAGTATTCTTTTAAAAAAATATTCAATGTACAATTTTGACTGTTCTACGATTTTATTATATGTATAGATAACTACGCATCTTTTCATTTTCAATAACAGTACTGTGGTGACTCTAATGTGTGTTGACATTTTTTCAAATGCGTAGCTGCTCCTGCGACCCTATAGCGTTAGCAGGCCCGTTAGTCTCCCAGCTTTGGTGTTGACTGTTAATATTTTGTGAATTGGGTAATTGGGCCTCCGCCTCCGGTAACCTCACTAACACGACGAAATACAACGCAAGCGTTGTTTCACGTCTGTTTTCTGTGAGGCCGTGGTATCACTCCGGTCGAGCCGGCCCATTTGTGCCGAAGCATGGCTCTCCCACACTTAAATTTACAAATACACAAGTTCACATACACATGACACTCAGACCCGAAACAACAATTTGTGGAGCACACAAGGAATTGTTCCGTGCGGGTATCGGGTGTGTGGCCGTTATAGATCTTGTCGGGCCTTCGGGACCCCTTTAAAATGGGGCCCCTGGGCACGGACCCCGAGTGCCCTTATGGTATAGACAATGATATATTATTTCCACCACCATCCACCATCGACTGCATCTCAAAAAGCCAGCAACAACAACTGTTCCCTCTCAGCTAACACCTTTGTGTATGACAGATACCAGTGCACTTCGAGAAGCCAGTGTACGGTAAGAGTGAACCTCAAGTGGTCAGCTTCATGGCGCCAGGAATCCTCATCACGTAAGTATATGGACCAGGTGATGGACATGTGGATATGACACCTTTTTCTTTTCCTAATATTAACTTCTTAAATGAAACTGCATCGCTGGAAGCGAAGCCAATCTAGTGTAATGTATTATTGACCAAGATTCTACTAATAATTTCTACGACCGTACTGGCACCTAGCTAAGCTGTCTAGATATAGCAAAAGATCAAGAAAGATGGCATTCTCTGGAGGAAGCCTCAGGGATTCCCTCAAACTAAACCTTTTGATATAAAAATATTTTTTGAAAATGTACATACTTAGATCTTTTTAAAAATTGGAAATTAAAGACATTTGATTTTTATATCATTACTGACACCAACTGATGAAAAGAGCTATAGCAAAGAACTATATTTGGGGCCTCATATTTTCGGAACAAAAATTAAATTCAGAAATAATTTTAAATTATTTGCATGTTTTGTCTGTCTTAAATAATTTGTCTCAATTTTTAATTATTCTTATTTTCCACCTTTAGATTACACAAAATTAATACTGAACTAACTATTGATATTTGATCACCTACTGAATAATCAATGATCAACATATAATTTCTCATTTGATAAAAATGCCTTGTAATGCATTCCAGCATCATTTACTTCTTGTCTGCTATCGTGACGTCGACCCTGATGATCACGGACCGGCTGGAGGGAGTGTGGGAGAGGAGTGCAGTGGCCGGAGTGAAGCCTAAGGAGATGTTGAACGTGCACATAACGTTGCAGTCTGTTGTCATTTTATTACAGGTTTGTGGGAGTTTTTGCTATCACATACTTAAAAATTCATTTAGAACTTAACGTTCTTACTTCTGTCGGCCTGTGACAGTCCACACTAGTGACAGTCGGCTGGACAATGAGCCTTTCTTACTTTAGAAGGGTATACCATAATCTTCACAGTTAGCGGGTGTTGTGATACGGATACGCAGTCTTAAACATAGTAGCGAATCATCATCAACAGCCTATAAATGCCCACTGCTGAGCAAAGCCTCTATTCACACGGAGAAGGTTTGAGCATTAATCACCACGCTTGCTCAATGCGGGTTGGCGATTACAAACTTATAATTTGAAATTATAAGTCCTATTATCATAAGTATAGTAGCGAATAATATAGATATTATATTCACCTTTCACGTGGCACGATATGAGTTATAATACTTGGTGTTTATAAACCCTGTTTTTACAGACAATAGAAATGATGGCCCTAGCATTCATCGGCTACGGGATCCCTTCAGTGGGTTCCAAGCTGGTCTGTGGCCTACTGCTGTTCCTGCAGGGTATCTGCGGCATGTGCTACGGGTTCCTACTTTCCGTCTACTGCAATAGCCATACCATGTCATTCTTCGTGGCTACCGGGAGCTTCTATCCCATGATTCTGTTGTGTGGTAAGTTGAATTAACGGTGCCTAAAAAGATTCTGATAGAAATGTTTGTCAAAATCACTTTAGTTTTAAATCAGACTACTAATCTCCTACTGAATATTTTAAAGTTGAAGTTTAAGCTCGACGAACCGAATTGTTCGGATTGCTAAATAATGGTGGCACTAAGATTTGCAAAGGCTCTATAAAGTCCGAGAAACGAAAAAATAATAATATAAAATCCCTAAATAGAGAATCAATAAAAATGAGCAAATCATAACATCGGAGTTCAAAATCATTGTTACTTAAAGCCAAACTAATTACCGTACTTAGGTATTTCTGATGACATAATTGGTGACTAACATAATTTCTTCTCCTCACAGGTATCCTATGGCCTCTAGAGGGAATGTCATATACACTACGTATGATCTCCCTCACGCTCCCGTTCACAATCCCATCGATATCTCTCAGAGATATTATGGAGAAAGGAGCTACCATCATGGACAAATCAGTCATCTATGGCTTCCTAACCACCATCGCCTGGATAGTCATCACCCTAGCTTTAATTTACTTAAGGTTACGTTTCAAGAAGACGTAGTGGTTTTTTTAATTGCATTGGACTTTAGTGGATAAAAAGACCTTGTATTGTTGCCTAAAATGTTTATGGTACTTTTAATTGCTTGTGTAAAAAATTACTGATTTGTTATTCGTGTTGGTAACACTAATTTAACGAATGGTTATTGTTTGCCAATTTTTTTTACGGTAAATTAAATTATGCTTATGACCTTGCTTAAATGAAGTGCAATTGTCATAAGTGAAGGGAATACTTTTAAAAAATCTAAACACAAGGAATAGCAACATATCAGTTGATTACTATTATAAAGAAATATCTAAAATATTAAATTGAACTTGCATTATGTTGGTCTAGAATGGTCGATTCACACAGCCACATTAACGATTTTTGACTGATTTATCAATATTTTTGGTAGATTTTGTTATTACCATTGGCGCCACCGCAAAAAATTAAAATGCATACATATTATGGGCCCCCAAGCCAACCATTCCTATCTTGATAAAATATTCAAGCGCTCTAGAACAAGTTGAGTCCCTCCTAAGCTAAGATACTAAGAAGGATACTAATTAATAAGTATTAGTAAGTACTCCTTAACATTAAATGGGCCCATTCAATAAATTCATCCAACTAGAAAATTAACGCCTTCTTTTACCCTGTTGTCAGCGCTAATGATGATCACTCAATCTATTGGAATTTGTAGAAACTTCAGTCACCAATGGGGCATTTCACGTGAAGCGGACAGGAAAAAAAAAGTGATGTTCTGAAAATCGATCATATTCAGCCCATTTATACTTCTAGTAGATATTTATGTGAATACAAAATATTTTTTTTGTATTGTGTATATTTCAGAAGTTATGGGTTTCTGAAGATTTGTCGTACTTGTAATATCAATTTTATGTAAAAAGTTTTTCGAATTTAACAAATTTACAATAAAATATTTAACATAGCGATACGTATTGGAAAAGGACTATTCTTTATAACAACAAAATGAAATATATAAAAAATTTTTTTTTTCATGTCGTAAACCAGAAGTAAACTTTTCAAACCCGAATTTCAGTCACTTCGACCAATTTTTTTTTTCTTCTTTTTCTATCAATATATAATTTAAAATGTATTAAAAATACACGAGGAAATTCAAAATGGGATCTCAATTATTTTAGAAGTTAGATTGATTAATGTACGTACGCGCCTCAATGGGCGTGATATCTGGCGCTTGCTTAGATCGGTTAGTGTGCGGGAAACAACATGTCTTGTATAATTGCTGTGGTATAATTAATTATATCATAATAAAACAACATTGTAACAACGCAAGAACTAGTTTATTTTGTAATTTTTACAACTTTACAGTGGGAATCTATACTAGAACTGGTCCTTTTCACAAGAAGGCCACTGGTTGTTGGAATAAAGCTGTGAAACTTTTTGGTTCCTGGAATGGTAACTATAGACGCAAACTTTGGTTGCAAAAAAATTCTCTGACGTTCTATATCGTTTTTAGTACAGAAGTAAATGGCTGTTTGTTTTAAAGATGATTTTGCCCATTCGTATAATCGTATCGGTGTTACAATTGCTTTACTTGAAGGTAACTGTAGACTTTCACGCGCGGCTAAACGTTTGAGATTCCCTCCCAGACCATCGCATGGCCCCTTTCCGTGACCCGTTGCATGAAAATGCAACTCTGCATCTGCATTAAAATCGTCCTTGTAATAAAATAGATTCACAAAGTTGAATCTGTTTTTAAAATGTTGCGAAGCTCCGTCGGTTATATATATAATTTTAGATCCAACTATTGATTTTTCTAAAAGATGCTTGTGTAGTATCTTTTGGAAAGCATAGAAAGTGGCTAATTTTGTAGATGAGTTATGCGACGCTTTGGACCTTTTGAGACCTCACGCTTATATAGCAGAGGAACAAGTGCTTTATTTTAAAACTCTTAAGGAGACTATCGATGAAGGGCAAATTCTCGTACGATGTGATTTTGCAGAAAATTATAGTTTTGTTGTCCAAGATGCTGCTCAATCTTTTCATTGGAATAACGAACAGGCAACGCTTTTAACATCGGTTTATTACTACAGAGATGGTAGTGAAGTAAAGCACGGCAGCATTGTTATGATTTCTGATGACTTAAAACATGACACAGCCACTTTCTATGCTTTCCAAAAGATACTACACAAGCATCTTTTAGAAAAATCAATAGTTGGATCTAAAATTATATATATAACCGACGGAGCTTCCCAACATTTTAAAAACAGATTCAACTTTGTGAATCTATTTTATTACAAGGACGATTTTAATGCAGATGCAGAGTTGCATTTTCATGCAACGGGTCACGGAAAGGGGCCATGCGATGGTCTGGGAGGGAATCTCAAACGTTTAGCCGCGCGTGAAAGTCTACAGTTACCTTCAAGTAAAGCAATTGTAACACCGATACGATTATACGAATGGGCAAAATCATCTTTAAAACAAACAGCCATTTACTTCTGTACTAAAAACGATATAGAACGTCAGAGAATTTTTTTGCAACCAAGTTTGCGTCTAGTTACCATTCCAGGAACCAAAAAGTTTCACAGCTTTATTCCAACAACCAGTGGCCTTCTTGTGAAAAGGACCAGTTCTAGTATAGATTCCCACTGTAAAGTTGTAAAAATTACAAAATAAACTAGTTCTTGCGTTGTTACAATGTTGTTTTATTATGATATAATTAATTATACCACAGCAATTATACAAGACATGTTGTTTCCCGCACACTAACCGATCTAAGCAAGCGCCAGATATCACGCCCATTGAGGCGCGTACGTACATTAATCAATCTAACTTCTAAAATAATTGAGATCCCATTTTGAATTTCCTCGTGTATTTTTAATACATTTTAAATTATATATTGATAGAAAAAGAAGAAAAAAAAAATTGGTCGAAGTGACTGAAATTCGGGTTTGAAAAGTTTACTTCTGGTTTACGACATGAAAAACAATTTTTTTTATATATTTCATTTTGTTGTTATAAAGAATAGTCCTTTTCCAATACGTATCGCTATGTTAAATATTTTATTGTAAATTTGTTAAATTCGAAAAACTACTTACATAAAATTGATATTACAAGTACGACAAATCTTCAGAAACCCATAACTTCTGAAATATACACAATACAAAAAAAATATTTTGTATTCACATAAATATCTACTAGAAGTATAAATGGGCTGAATATGATCGATTTTCAGAACATCACTTTTTTTTTCCTGTCCGCTTCACGTGAAATGCCCCCAATGCTAGATTATTGCCAACATGCTTTTACCCAACTGTGGAATCAACCAATAAGTAGTTGAAGACCTAAAAATTAATTATATCATCGGTTAAGTGGTATATAAAGTAGTTTAGTTAAATTACGGGATCTTTCACAATACCAAAATTTAGTGAAAATAGACTTATTTGGTTTTTTATTGTGGAAGGACCGATCGGGTAGCGTGTAAATAGCTGTTAATTATATATTATGACTCTCTGGGTGTTAAGTATATTGTGATAAATATCTGCTATAATATTCTATAACTAGCAGTATATTACTGCTAGAAGGGAACTCATGACATATGATTAGGAAAACTGTATGGAACCTAAGTTTTTAAAGTGCTCAAAAAAGTATGTAATTTAGGAAATTGTATAAGAATTATACTAGAATTTTAATTCAATGTAGTCAAAACATAGGATACTGAAATTTGTACTATGTATTGTCAATATTTTTTGAAAGCTACATTTTGTGTATACAATGATGCAGTAAGTAAAAACAAAAACAAAATGTTTATTGTTTACTTCGTGGCAATTGGATATTGTCTGACACTTTTTAAAGTGTTTAATGGTCGCATTTTTATTGTAGTTTATGTGTAAATTAGAATATTTTGTTTATCTTCTCGTAGAGAGAATTGCCGATGTGGTGACGTGATACCATGTGATTTGGGAAAACTATTTATGAAATAAAGTTTTTTTAAATAAAAATGGCTTTTGATTGAGGATAAAAAATAAAAACACAAAGTTCAGATATAAAAATTTTATTATTTATAGGAAATATTTTGATTTAACAACAACTCTTTCCGTGTGAAGCGCGCGCGCCACCGAACCGGCGAAGATCATGGCACATTGATTTTAAAATTCCCGCTATTTACTTGTATGGCAACACCAATGTTTTCGTGTTTACCACACCAAACAAAGTAAACGGTACCCAATTTCAAACTGTAGATTTAGGTTTACGAAGCTAGTTATGTGTACAGTACAGTAATTAATGTAAAAATTCGTCCAGCTGTTATAACTTCGTAAACGTACGTCTGCGCGACGACGCGAGCGCTCACACTGACAGCACGAGGTTTCGTTGTCAGCAAACCGTCCGAGGTTCCTCACAGCGCAAAACGGTACCTCAAAAAGAAAAAAAGTCTATCCACATTATCATCTCGTCCACAGACCACAACACACCGCTTATTGCGACATTATCACATTTATCAAGCATTATCTGTTGATCCCTCTATACAGGAAAAAAAACTGATTTTTTAATTCTGTGTTTTCACAGTTTTCGCCTAACTATAAACTAGTACTTAAATTATAGCTCACTCATCACCTGTTTCGCGCGCATTCTCGCTTCGCAACCACACTCTATACAAGATGTCTTTGCATTTATACTACAGAGCGACATATTTTTACATTGGATCTCACGGGGGACAGTCAATTCCTATACTATTTATTGCTTTTCAAGCAATTATATACTTTAAAAATAACTCTTCTACTTACAACCGTCTCAGACAATGTTCGTGCATCATTTACAAACGTTTATAAGAAGACCAAGTACAAGCTGCATAGGCATATTTTTAAATATCACACATTTGTTTAAATTACATAGCGAAACAGCGTGTTCAGCTATCGTCGGAACAACTAGAAGGAATTGACCGGGCCCCTTACAAAACAGACGACAGAAACATAACTAAAACTTAACGCAGTTCCTATACATATTGATGAACATAAAAAAATGTTGTGGAGATTATGGAGGGCCTGAATACAGCCGAAATATTAAAAATAATGTTAGCCGTTTCACGTGTCTATGTACAGAACCAAATTATTTGGGGTCCGCCTTGCAAAACTATCACAACGTTCGGAACGAGTTACTTATGTACAAAAATGGACAAGTTCGGGATTCTAGCGATCACAAACAGGTGAATTACACACGACGCACGTTGAGTGGGTAATACACTAGGCCTTGTAAAGGTTTGTTTAACTCGAAAAATCCTATTGATATCTTTATGCAGACTTATAAGTTTTGCAGAAACAGACACCACGCAGGCGACGTTCTATCGAGCGACAGGCCTCCGACTTATATCGAGTGGCTAGCTTTAACTTTCATAAACACTACCATTTAACTATTAACACAGAATTATCATGTATTCTAGGAAGATCCGCTCGATGCAACGTTGGTTTAAAGCCTCGATTTACAATTATTCAAAACAATTTCAGTTACAAAATTATGTATAAATGTAGTTACATTAAACGCTAGCTGTTAACGTAGATACTAGACACAAAAGTTTAAAAAAAGAAACAAATTCATATTATAATCATAGTCGAACATAATTTCCAAGCTTTACACAAAATACATATAACATTAACTGTACAAGTTGTGACGTAGACTATCGGTTCAGACTACTTCAGACCATCGTTCAACAACACTACATTATTTACATTATATTATAACCACACTGCTCAAGCATCGAATCACAATGTTTTTCAATAAGTAATATATGCCGAAATTATGAAATAAAACTAGCCTTGATGAGATTTGCTGTATCCACATAAATTACTATTAATAGCAACTTTGAATCGATAAATTGAGCGACCATCAATTAGGACAAATCTACTATTGGACACAAATACTCAAAATCAACTAGTAAGATTCAACACAAAGGTGAATTAAAACAATTTACACAAACTTACGCGAATCACAGCAAATTCCCATCAAGACTATAAGAGAAAACTTTGAAATCATAATTGTAACATCGCCAATGTATAAACAAACTCACAAAGTAATTAGAAAATACATAATTATATATAATTATAATAAATAAAGGGTATATCATCAACAGAATGTAGCGTCGCTCGACGTCTACTCCGCTGAAGTATATAATTACATTTTACGTATGATTCCCGTCTTTAAATGTACTAGTGACTGTGTTTTATATTGAAAATATAACACTTGTCAACCTCATAAGAAATTAATTCATTATAGGAATATGAAATATAGAAGTATCTTTATTTTTAACATTATTTTTAGCCGACAGACAAAAAAGGTTAGGTTTTATGACCTGCTAAAAACACATTAACTACAAAGTTGACAAAAAAATTGGCAGTGAATGATATACATAGAAAACACTCTACATCACATTCATAATGAATTTTGAGCAAATCTATTGTTTAGAAAAAAAGCTTAATTATGAAAAAATAAATACTAAAATAGAGTACAAAATTAAATGAAAACGTTCACGCTGTGTTACAGCATCGGTGATATACAAAAAAAGACATAAACGTGAAGAGAATAAGGTTCAATTTCCAAATAAATCACAGTTACAGTACAAACAGACATTTTTTTTATATTGACGGTGGATTCCTTCAAATAAAACCAAATGGTTATAAACCATGAGTGACCATTTCTCAGCGCAGTGCAAATGTATGAGATCTTAATCAAAATGTTTAAGAGATCATTCTGCCTACCCCCTTTCGGGCTTGAAGATATGTACGTATATTGTAAACATGCTGTATTCGAGACTGGTTCAACTACTTCTGAACGAAATTCGACCTTACTACTCAAGAAATAAAGACGAATTTGGAACGGTTAGATATTATCAATGATATCAGTGCAATGAAGCTATATTTTTGTATTTATAAGAATATAAACAACTTGTCAATTTTCATAAGACTTCATATTACTAAATATTTAGCGAAAAAACGCCGACCAGTCGCCTTGGCTTTCATTTAAAAAATACTTACACCTACTCCATGATGAAAATAAAAAGACCTACATTACTACACGATACACGGACCGCGGAAATTAAAAAAAAACATCCCATACACGTCTCATACAAAAAAATGTTAATGACTTGGGATCTCATACATTTCCTTGACGCGTCTAGAACATTCGTTATACCTAACTAATCTCATACAAAGGATGTGTCGTTTCCTTAAAAAAGGTACAGTTTTTATGTTTAAACAATAAATACTTAATTATCGCTTAGAACCTTAAGTAAGAAAAGCGTATAAATTACTTTCTTTTTTTCTCAGAAAATTTGAATTAACGGACTTAGTTTCTATCTACCTACATGTTGTGCCGTATTGTATGGGACCCATACAAATAGTTCAAATGAGAAAAACCAATAAAAATTGAAGAAAATATAAATTTTAAGACGATAAAATGTAAATGGAAAGATACCTTTACGCTTAGATAATAAAGTATGATTTTGTAAGCTCAACAGACACTAAAAGTCACTATAAAAAAATTGTGTAACTTAAAAAGGAAACGTAAGTACTTTTTATATTGGACTTTAAACTACAAGAATAAGGTACAATTCCCAGTAACAATACGACACAACTGGACAAGAGCGGCTTTCGGTGACTTATTATTATTTATAAAGCAGGCATTTGAGACGGATTCAGTACGAGGTTTTATTTTGTAAGACGGCAAGGCTTGCAAATGCCTCGTCAAACAACTGCATGAGTAACGCCCCAATATTGAAAGGCTACTCAATTGTAAGTTGACGAGGAAATTGAACTAGTTTCACGCCACGCTAGGGGTCCTATTCATGAGCAGAGTTACGCGAGACGTGACAAATATGAACACCGTTAAACATAATTTTAATTAATATATATGTCATAAACTCATAACTTTCATGAGACATACTAAATAAATTATTATGTTTTCGGCTTACTCACGTAATTATTTAACGAGGAACTCGACTAGTTTCAAGCCGTGCTAGAGGCTCATATTCATGAGCAGCATTTCGCGACCTGCGACGCAGCGCGACAGTCGCCGCGTGAAACGTGAAACTAGTCGAGTTCCTCGCCAGATAATTACGTGAGTAAGCCGAAAGCATAACAATGTATTTAATATATTAATGTTGCAATAATTTGATTTAGTTAAAATGCAATTGAATATTATGAATGTCTATCTACATTTTGGTTTTTACCCGACTGTCGAATGATGTAATCAACATGATAGAAATTAAACAAAATTTCTTGAATAAACCTTTTAGATGGAAAGAATATGAAACTTTATGTGTTCAAATCAAGATCCTTTTTTCTGCTGCGACGACAAAACGACATTAAACATTTTCATAAACAGAATTCAACTCATACTTCATCGTGACATCAGTACCTTTTCTTAAAAAATTATCTTCACAATAAAAATTTTCGAAATGACATATCGACAATGGATTACTTAAAAAAAGTTGTGAACGGGCCTTCAGTCCTACTACTAAACAGTCTTGATTCAAAGCTTTGTGAAATATTGGAGGTCCTTTAGAAAAAATGGTGGCATTATTTCCCTTATGTAGAATAATGGATCCTTTTTCTATAGCATTAGGACTCTAATTAAATTGTGATGATGCTGATTAACGTCACGTATAGAAAGCCGCGCTTGCATTCAACAAGTTATTTAATATTTCACGCCTGACGCACCGAGGACTCAAAATACCTATGTATTCAATGAGCGTTGTATTGAGCACAGTAATGTATTGGAATTTCAATCTTAAGTGAATGATTTAAAGTTTCTTTTTACCCGCATGTGGTTTGAAATTAGTGTCTGAGATTGTGTGCATGCGGTTATAGCCCTCATTAACTTTCACATAAGGTTTAAAACAAATTATTGCTATCGTTGCGTACTTTACTACCCGGGGTAAATGAACTCTCTGAATGAAGCTGACAAGTAAAGATGCCACTGAACTGTATAACTTATAGGTACGAAAATAGGTATCTATTTCGAATGGCTGAATAGAAATCAAAGATTATTTTTGTATGGACAGTTCAAGTAGCACCCTCACTGTGTATGCAGCTCGTCATTTACATTATAACAGGTATAATATACAACACATTGGTTTAATGAGGCTTAGACAAAGCTTAAACAGATGGCAACAAATATCTATAGGGATCCTTAACTTTGAGACTCTTTCCTTACAACTTTATTGAAATTTGACAATTTTTATATGGAGAGAAAGAACCAATCTCAACGCAAAATCTTTGGATTAACATTGATTTTTGTCATTAGTTGTGTAGACTTTCCATCAAAAACTTAGATCAATCCTTAGATTCTGGACTAAGATCGCTTATATACGATTTCCAGAGACAAACAACACAATTGAACACAGAAATCACTGATTTACTTAACAAAACAATGTTAACAAGGACCCTAAAGACCAAAAGTGACGGTGTCGCCATCTGTTATCAGCTTGCATCGTTCCTCTAGAAGTGTTATACTAAGTACCGTGCGAGATCCCGGTGCGAGGGTCAGGCGGCCGCTAGAACTTGTCCTGGAATATGAAGAGGTTGTTCGTGGCCGCCACCGCTATTATACTCTCGTGAGGATGCCATGCCGTATGGAGAATCTTCTTGTTAAAGTCCAGGCAGTCTACGCTTATTTCATCCTGGAAAAGAAAATTTTACGGTTAGGTTTTGTAAAACTGTAGATTGTTTTTGTAATACCCCACATTAGGATTTTCTCCTGTGTCGTGAGTGCGCTTACAAACATACAAATTCACATGACGCCCAGACCCGATACAACAATTTATGTATCACACAAAGTGTTGTTCTGTGCGGGAATCGAACTAGCGACACGCTGCACGGCAGCCGGTTGCCCAGCCACCGTATCAACCGTGCAGTCAGATAAAAACTAGATATGTTGTGGAGACGTCATATTGGTCAAGTAGATATGAATGAGTATTATAAAATGAAAATGCTTGAGCAACAGACAATAAACTACTGTTTATTTCGAAAGGAGAGTGTATTACATACTATGAGATGGATGGCACTGTTAGTCTGTATTGTGATATTGTCGATACAAAATATAGATTAAAAATAAAAATGAGGTTGTAATTGTTTCTGAAAAAATGGGTTAATCTATCTTCTGCTTAAGTATCATCATTATTATCATCAACAGCCTATGAAAGTAAACTGCTACATTATGAGCATACTCTAGCTAAGATGTGTTTGGCATATTCTCCAACCCTAATTTCAAATAAAAAGGTTAAGTTTAATAGAGTTGCTTGGTGTCTGTCAAATATGTTGATTCTTACGACACCCAACAACTAACGTATTCTACTTTGCCGTGATTACACTGTAACAATGTGCAGTGTATCTCTGACGTCATCAGATGACAATGATATGATAGATTTGCATCGTACCTTCTTCCTCTTGGCAGTGGTGGCGACCCTGCGCGCGCGCAGTGGCTGTCGCGGGCGCGCGGCGGCGTCCCGCGCGGCCTCCAGCGTCAGCTCGCCGCGCCGCGCGCCGCAGCCTGACCCGCAGCCGCCGCGCTCGAATATCCTGCGGAGAGACAGTACTTTGGCATTATGCTACTGTTATGTCATTGTGCGAGTTTAGCCACAACGCAGGAAAGTCTAGTGCAATCAAGGTTCTTACAACAAAAAACTAGAAAAAAACCTCCTTGTATTCGTATCAGATCACAAAACTCGACGATGTCAATGCGTATTATAAATATCAGATAATTTTAATTCAGAATTTTACACTTTACTTATGGTGTGACTGTGAATAATTTAACATAAATTCTCCGTATAAAGTAAAATACTGACATTTAATCAAACGTAATTAAGACTCAAATCAAAAGCTTTATCAGAGAGTACTGTTACTGTTCTCTGTTAACTGTATATTCTGATATTCTCACACATCAACTCTTAAGATAAATAGAGTGTACTTTGCCGTCATGTACCTCACAATAGTAATTTCAAAGGCAGTTCATAAAATAAAACTTATAATCAGAACATACCTAAAGAATCCATTATAAGACCCGGTCATGAGCCGCTGGTCGTCTCCGCTCCAGCAACACTCGAACTTGTCAAAGATACAATCGTTCTCATACAGGGAACACAGCTTGGACCGCAGGTACTCGTGTACTGGGTATGTTTCTACAGGCTTCGTCTCCATGCGTAAATCCCATACTTTTAAACCTAAGTAGTCTCGCGACATCATGTATCTGGAATAGATAGATTATCAAGTCAGAAATATTTACACAACTCGCAACTACAAACTGATTTTATAAAAAAATATTTTATAGATGTGATGAACCATGTTTTTAACGGTAAACCTGAACTGGTAGCCACAATCACCTCGCTTGTTAAGCGACCTGAAGATCGTTAGATCAGCGATAGAATACACGACTCGTTATCGCGGAGGCACCGTCCCGTCGTCGCCTGGTCGCAAGTATCAGAACATACCCAAGTCCAAACCTTTATAATATTATTATATAAATATACCTAATAGGATAAAAAATCTACTACATAAAAATAAGTCGGGTTTTCCTTCCTGACGCTATAACTCCAGAACGCACGAACCAACGGTTTTGCATTCGTTGAAAAAGTATCTGGTTCCGTGAGGTTTATAGCAAAGAAAATTCACTTTTAATTACCAAACGAAATGTTACATAAAACGAAGCCATCTTGTGGCAAAACGGAGTTCGCTAGGTTTGCTAATATAATATAGAATCACTTACCTTCCAGAATTACTAAGCTTGACATCACTGATGGAGGAGATGATCTCAGAGAAAAATGACCTCGCATGTGGATCCTCGGGCTCCTCGAAGAGCTTCGCGTGACGGTCGCATAGCGCCGCCGCGCGCATGTCGCATAGCCTTATTGTACCTACGAGGAAGAATACAAGGGTTAGATTCGCTTGCAGGATACATTGTACTAATTTAACACTGACGGAATTCATTTGACTTAAGATTTCTGGCAGGTTGAAGTCGGTTCTAGTAATTTAGACTCAAAACTACTACCAGAATTAAATACTTTTACACTATTCAATAGAAAAGAACGTTCTGTTATCCGTCGAACTACAAAAACGTATTCAAACCAGCTAAGATGTGGTTTATTTATGTATGTATGATTAAGTTAAACATTGTAGTACTCACCCTTACTACTAGAATAGACAAAGAGATTGCATTCAGTCGGATGGAACTCCGCCGCCGTTATGACCTGAAACAATACAAATAGAATTAAACATTCAATACATAGGTAGAGATGATTACTCCTTACTAATATTATAAATCGGAAAGTGAGTTTGTTTGTTTGTTCCACTTTCGTGGCGTAACTACTAAACCGATTGTTTTGAATTTTTGCAGACGTGAAGTTAGAAGTCTGGATTAAATAATAGGGTACTTTTTAACCCGGAAAAATTTGATATTCTCGAGGGAAAACGAAATTATTGGTATAGATGGCACTGTATGTATTGGTATATGTCACATAGGCTACTTTTTATCCTTTTGTGACGCGAGTGAAGCCGCGGGTAAAAGCTAGTCAGTTATATTACAAGTCGAATATACCTTGTTGTTATTCCAGAAAATGTCCTACCACAGAAAATTAAATCTTAATATCTGTAATACGAGGTATGAACCAAGAATCTAAGTCGAGAGCCAGAATGCCACTCTAACGGCCAATTTTCCAATGCTCAGATTAATTTTAACTAAGGAATAACTTTGAATATTTGACAATTCTTTAACTATCAATTTTATTCTACAGTTAAGAATCAACTGTTGTTTGAATAATCGGCCCTAAATCTACATGAAGGTACTGATAAACATGCTCTAAAATATCATACTAAAGAGCGTTCTATTGAGCATGCTCAAAATGTTAAAAATCTAACACCTGTCGATTCACAAGCATGCCCGATATTAGCACGCTTATTTTGAGCACCATTCTACTAAGTGACAAGTAATCAATAGAAGCATGCTTTCATGGTTTTTAATGGAATAGGAGGGGAGCAGACAGGTCACCTGATGGTAAATGATCAGCGCTGCAATTATTTGCTTGAAATTACCATGTGTAACAGTGCCTTTAGATTGCAAGATACGATCTTTGTACCATTTGATTTGATTATATAAGATGTGTTCTATGACAATTTATTATGCACACGTCTTACGTGTGTTTATTTTATTACAGAGGCCACTGGTATTTAGATATTAGTTTATATAATTTAATTAGTACAGGCGCTGGACGAGTGCTAATTAAATGCTATCTACTTCTCAGTTACACGCCGTATCAGTTATGGCATATTGTAGATAATAAATAATAATACAGAATGTGAAAAGTTTCATGATTTCGCTTTTTTGCAGACTGCCTACTTACAAGTCTGGGTATAGCATGTGAAATGTGTAAAAATCGTAAAAACTTCCAAAAAATTCCCTTTGCCCAAATTATCGGACTATAATTACTTTAGTTTTTCTAATTTTTCTGCCAACCTGTGAACGCAAACTTTACACGGCAAAAAATCGTGTATTTGTGATTAGGTACTGAAAGAAAACAAAAACTGGGAAGCTTTTAGTTGTGCTATGCTCATTGGGGCTATGCAGGCTCCCGTAGTCCGGGGATCCCTTTAATTGATACGGCAGATACGGCGCTAGCTAAGCCTTTAACACACATCCATAATTATACTCAAGTTACAGAATAATATTGTTATAGACTGACCTCTGTAAGCTCCTCCATATTGGCGGGTTTAATATCAACAATATTGAAGCTCTGGTCAGTAATCTCCAGGTGCCAGAGGTTGATGCGCAGGTCATCTGCTGAGAGATACGTCTCCTGGTCCGAATTCAGGGATATTGAGTTTATGTGGTATGTGTGAGCGTTCGCGAATATCCTCCTGTTGACAAAAAAAACATCAATAATTAATTATACATCGTGATACCATGTCCCTCCATCTTTTAAACTTTGTTTTTCTCCAGTGTCGTGGGTGCGTTTACAAACATACAAGTTAACAGACACATGACACCCAGACCCGGAATAACAATTTGTGGATCACACAGTTGTTCCGTGCGGGAATCAGACCCGCGACACGTAGCGCGGCAGCCAGTTGCCCAGCCACCGCGCCAACCGAACAGTCATCTTAATTTTGGTGATGGAAAGACTGGAGACTTCTCGCAGTTGTCGCAAGAATCGACTAAGGGACTACATATGCAACAGTTTTTGATAAACCTGGACCAGTTTTAAAACTGGGACTTTCAACTGTAATCTCTTAATATATAAAGGGTGTAAACACAACGCTCCCGAAACGCTGACAAAAAGAAATTGTATTTAACATTTTAATCCTTTTTGTTTTTGTGTTATTCATGCAACATCAGCGTCGGGCAGTTGATTACAACTATTATTAGTTAAAAGAAATATTGAATTCTTTAGCTTTATGAAAATAAATCTTGTTTTTACTATAAAAAAAAATAAAAAATAAAAAAAATAAAACAAAAAAGTTTATTTCAATTACAAAAGGCATTAAATAAAATTATTGGAGATCACCTTTTAAGCAATGGATTGCTTGTGTTAGGAGACTCCGCACTTCCACATGACATTCTAAGTAATTGAAGTTACAATGAAGATAATGTAAACATGCAAGATTAACAATAAAACAAGAAGAAAATAAATCAAGTTAAACTTACAATTCTAATCGCAGAGACAATGAATGTTATTATGAAAATACTAGATCGCACAATGTATGTATGTGTAGTATGTCAATCATGTATAGTGAGTATGTGTATGAGTGATTGAGTGAGTAGGTGAGTGAAAGAGTGAGTGCAAATATGAGTGTAAGATTATCAGGAACTGTGTGAGTTGAGATATATGGTTTTCTACTACTATGCCCTGTCGGCGTCGGGTGCGATCCGTTTACACTCTGTATACCCATGCCCGTTTTGGGAACTGCGATTAGAGTTCTACCTATTTTTTATAGTTCAAGAGCTGTGGTGTTTAGCTTAACCTCTAACTAACCAAGTGTCGAGAATATGATAAAATCATCTTTTGTAGAGGAGACATGGTTTAGTAGTCGACTACCACATGCTGTTCACGCTGAATTTCTGTCTAGTCGTCATTTAAATAATTAATTTCTTGTCTTACTTACAAACGAGCTAACAATCAGGTACAGTTTGTTTGTAACTACTTATTCTGTATCCACGCAACCTTAAGTTTCAATATTTTTGTGTAGATAAGGTAGGTAATAATCACCAATAACAAAGCCAACAACCCAACTTAATACGTCAAGGTACCATAGCTTAAAAGCTTCACAACAAAACAGAACCAAAGTCTACAATAACACCTAGGTATTAAAACCTATTTTCCATCGTCGATAACAAATCACTAGATTAAAAATCAGTCAAGATAATGCTTTATTAAAACGTTTCATAATCCTACGGGTATGGGGTATGGAAACTAATTAAATTATTTTGTTTATCTATGGTAAGGGCAGATAGTGTGGTTGGAAATTGTGCAATAAAGAGATAAAGTTTTGATTGTATCGTTTATGAGTCATCTTGTATGTTTTTGTTAGTGAAGAGTGGATGGAAAGGTACGAAATTATTTTTTATGGGATTTTTTTTAAGGGGGGAAAATCATCGAATGACTGCTTGGGTAAGGCGGGAGGGAGTGCCAGACTTTTACTGACCAAAAACCACCCCGTTCCTTTTCCTGCACGTCGAGCCGGAGCACCGGTAACCCGTTAGGTTCTCAGCGACTTTTTTATGGGGTAAGCCGGTAAACGAGCAGACGGATCACCTGATGGTAAGCAATCGGCGTCGTGGAACACCATAGGCGTTACAAGTGCGTTACCGGACTTTTGGGATTTGGAATTTGTGGATTGTTGGGGATCCGGGGATTAGGGGTGGGGTAATTAAGCCTCCGGTAACCTCAATCACATGAAATATAACGCAAGGGTTGTTATATATTGTGATAACTCCGGTCGAGCAAGCGCATTCATGCCGAAGCATGGTTTTCCCACACTTTAAGTTAACGAATGGTTATTTGGATATATGCATAGAACATGAGAATGAAACCAAAGGTGAAGGAGATGTAAATACATACACCAACCCAAAGTCCGTTAAAGAGATTCATATCATACAATTGAAATGAGATTCATATCATACATATCCTGCACGAAAAAACTGTTTCGTGCAGGAATCGTACATCGCGGCACACCAGTCGGTTATCCAGCCACTGCGCCACTGCAGTAAATGGGTCTCGTACACCCGCGTGAAGAGTATCGGTGGTGACATATGTACCCTGCTGTTATGTACTGACCTAGGCGAGGCTTCCACCATGAGCTCGGCGGCCCGCACGGTGGGCACGCGCAGCTGAGTGATGCGCGCCGGGTCCCGCGGCCGGCCTCCCTCCTCGCGCGTGTTGTAGCCTGTCACTCGCTTGTCACGCTCCGACACCTGGACATTACAAGTATAGTTCACTAAAAATTCTATGCAAAATGAAAGAGATGACACGATATTTAAGTACAATTTAAAATTGAGTAGCCTTTCAGTGTTCAGGCATTAGGCACCCCTTCAAATCAACCTTAAATGTACCATAGGGGCCATCCATAAATTACGTGATATGTTTAAGGGGGAGAGGGGGTAGACTTTAATTTCATCTAATCTTACATCGGAGAGAGAGAGGGGAGCTCGGCAAATATCACGTATTTTTCTTTTCAGATTGAAGCAAAAAAATATTCTAGTTCATTTAATCCAGATTGTACATGCTTAAGATTTAATTGTGCATTCACATGTTGTTTTTTTTCTTTTTACAATAAGAATCCAACGCGTGTAGGGTGTAGGGTGAACTTATCTAACTTCGTGACAAAGGCATTTAAGTAATAAAATGCCAATAAATTATTAATTAATTTAATTCAGTCTCCGCATGAGTTTTAATCAGTCTTTTATGAGGAATATTAGCACAAATAATCAGATTTTTTTCTAGAAACCTAAGAGTTCTACCAAATTTACTAAACCGAATTATTAGGCGAGTCACAGAATTAGATGAGTTCACCCTACGTGAAAAACCAACATTATGAAAAATCTCACGTGAGATTGGGGGATGCGGGAGGGTGTTGAATAAAATCTCACGAAATCTCACCAGGGGTGGGGGGGAGGGACAGAAAATTTAAAAAAAAACCTTACGTAATTTATGGAGGCCCCTATACATACACACAAACAAGTCTAAACGTAACCCAATACACAAAACTTGACTAACAATTTAACAAAAAGACCTACGTCACGGCGATCATTTAAAATCGTCGACCGTTTACTCCGCTATAGTTCGGAATGCGAGTGTCCAATTACCTACATAGGAATTTTTCAGAGGACATGGCTTGTTCGTTATAAATGTACTAAGTTGTATAATAGGGAACTAACAATGGCTCTTTTGTTATTAGTTAAAATGTGTGTAAGTATGTTGATTTTATTGCAGGCTTATATATAAAACTGCCGAGTTGGATTTGATAAAATTTTGTAAAGAAATAGCTTATAACATGAAATGGAGCTTCGGGAATTAACGATTACAGTTATCTTATACTATTATATAAATCTTATACTATAATATAAAGCGGAAATTTGTTTTTTTGTTTGTTTGTTTGAACGCGCTAATCTCCGTAACTACAAGTCTGATTTGAATAATTATTTTTGTGTTGAATAGTGCATTTATCGATGATAGCTATAGGCTATAAAACGTCACGCTACGACCAATAGGAGCTGAGCAGAGCGTGTGAAACCGCGAACACCAAATTTAAAGCATGTTTATTTATTCAACCCCGGATGGTAGAATTGATTAGTTATGAAAGTTAAAAAGTTAAAACATATCATTATTATAGAAATCGAACCACAAGTATTCTGTACAAGAGTGATGTATAAAAACTTGCTATTTACAATGAAATTATCACATTCGCTATGCAATAAAACTATTTATTACTCATGGTTGAATTGTTTAAGTATTGAAAATAGACCATACTAATACTCTTCATTAAATGATAGAAAATTAAATACTAATTGAGAATTACACCACATATTGAACTTCATTTTTTATAGCACTACATTTACTTACTTAATAATAAATTAATAATATTTATTATTATCCTTTATCAAACATATTAATTCCAAAAATCATAGAACACATATTTAGGAAAATATCAATTTCTAGGGCGTATCCTAGGTTTAAAATAAATTGTTTCAACTTTTCAATGCAATAAATAATTAAAAAAGAATCACTCTCTCGTCCATTGATTTGACAGTTTACGTACTTTTGGATTTTTCTCGCTAATTTTAAGGAAATAAGAATGTTGTTTGACGCAAAACATGATGACGTCATAAGTTGCGATCCAATACAAAAATCATAGAAAAGTATCGTTTTCGACATTTCAATAACAAACCAAGCCTCCGAAGTTAAAAACTAAAAAATCCTTACTAATTTTATAAATCTGAAAGTGAGTTTGTTTGTTTGTTTGTTCCACCTTCACGCCGTAACTACTCAACCGATTGCTTTGAATCAGACGTAAAGTTAGAAGTCCGGATTAAATAATAGGGTACTTTTTAACCCGGAAAAATTGATATTCCGAGGAAAAACAAAAGTATTGGTATAGATGGCGCTATGTGTATTGGTATATGTCACATAGGCTACTTTTTATCCTTTTGTGACGCGAGCGAAGCCGCGGGTAAAAGCTAGTAAATTAATTAAACAAATAAAAATCCATACATACAACACTAACCTTCCACAGTTTGATGGTCTTGTCGTTGGTGGACAGTAGAAAGTGTGCCTGATTCTTCCGTTTCAACCATCGGATCTTGTTGATCTTCTCCTCAATCTCTAACGATTTGAGATAATCGAACTCCGGTTCATGTGACTGGAATGTTGAGTACACATTGTACTCCCCCTTCTTGGGGACACATTGCTTCGATGCTGGGTCCCTCTGGAATAGAGGAAAAGGTTTGTCAGTTATGATATATTTTATTGTAATTTCCTGTGTCTGCTTAGTTGGCCGAGTGGACGCAAGTACGTCTGCTGGGCAAGGGGTATATGCCCGGTATATGGCGATAGGCTCACCCCCTATTACATACTCATAATATAAATAGTGAAAAAGGTGTTACATTGTACAGTGGCATTAAGTGCCGTATTGTGCACCGCTGCCTACCCCTTCGGGGGTAAAAGGTGTTGTTATGTTGTTAATTTTTTGTGTGTCAGAATATTCTGACACAGATAATAACAACAAAAATGTCGCTTAGATCAATAATTAGCCTTTCAACCGTCGTTGATATAATAATTAAGAATTGAAAAGAAATACAACTGAAAATAATATCACTCAAACAAGATAACTTTTGAATTAAACTGTCAAACACCAAGCGGTCACCGGTGACCGCAACCTATTGTTCTTTAATTGTGTCTACAAATACGGTACGCTCGATATCTTCACGAATGAACTACATACTATTAGATAGTCTATACTATTTAAGAATACTTATTGAAACAAAGGCTTTATCAAAATACAAACAAACAACTAACCTGGAATATAACAACCCTGCCGCCCTTGTCGCCAGTGGCGAGTAGTTCGCCGTCATGGTTGAATTCTACGCATGATATCAGATCAGCTTCGGTGACGTCATCTTCCAAGGTACCCTTCACCTGGCTGAAACACCATGTCGTCTCCCCACCATTGCCTGAAACACATACCAAAGGATATAAGAAATACATATCTACTTTATACCGCGACATGTCCTTGAGAAAATGGGTCGTAAGTGTTTAACGAAGTTACTCGATTAGTTTCAAAGCCATGACTAAGACTAATATGAGCCCCTAGCGTAACTTGAAACTGGTCGAAGTATCTTGTAAAACAGTTACGTGAGTAAGCCGTTAAACAAATGTAATTCATTCATGAGAGTTGTAATACAAAGACGTACTATGAAATAATCTTCGAAGGGATCCGTTTTTTTCTCTTTTGAGTTATAAAACCCTAAACACACAGTTCCGTTTGACCGTTATTGCCTATCGATATGAACTAAGGCAAGATCCAGGAAAAGGACTTATAATAAAAGCTATATAATACAGCGTATTTTGGATTGTATTTAACAGAATTGTCTTTAAAAACACGGTAGGTGCGTTCTAGACATACCTAATAGTCGTTAATGAGTAGCAAAACTAAGCCTAACATATCCTATAGGGACATTCTAAAATATGGCAACTTATGGCACCGACTTCTAACCTATCAGTGGGTGGGTTATTTTTTGCTTTTTAGTATTGACTTTTTGTTTGTTATTAGTTTTTGGTTTTTGAAGTCGGTTTTTTAAACGCAGTTTTTACTTTATTATTTTACCATTTTCAGTGTAAAGCTACATATACCCGTTTTGTTACTTATAATATACGTAGGTGGAAAGTCCTCAGCAATACAAATTAATCAAGCCCAAACTCAAGGTAGTTACTGTATACCGTTGAGGAGTTCCCTTAACAATTACACTTCTTCATCATCAGACCCTTAATGACAGTCCCACTCTATCTAGGTGTAAAGTCCTCATCAATACAAATTAATGAAGCCCAAACTCAAGGTAGTTACTGTATACCGTTGTGAAGTTCCCTTAACAATTACACTTCTTCATCATCAGACCCTTAATGACAGCCCCACTCTATCTAGGTGTAAAGTCCTCATCAATACAAATTAATCAAGCCCAAACACAAGGTAGTTAATATAAACCGCTGAGGAGTTCCCTCGACTGTCTGTCGACTCCATCATCAGGTCGACTCCAGACCCTTATTAAATTGTAGTGTTTAAAATTCGTAATTGAAAAACACAATAGACGCATTACTACCCCATAGAATTTTCGAAAGTTTCCCTCGGTTTCCCTAGGATCCCATCATCAGATCCTGACTTCATGGAAATGGGACCATCTCGGGAGTATACCCTTTCAAACAAAACAAAAATTTTTGAAATCGGTCCACAAACGGCGGAGTACTGCGCGAACAAACAAAAACAAAAAAAAAACAATCAGCCGAACATAGTACCTCCTCCTTTTTTTGAAGTCGGTAAAAATAAAAAAGATGTCAATATATATATATATATGTATTACTTACAAAAATAAATGACAGTACTAAATCTATAGTTCCGAATCATGTTTTTATTTTGGCAATCTGATCGGAATCCGACCTTCTGTTATTAATAAACTTGCCAGGTAACTTTTGATGTCAGGTAATCTTAAAGAATTACTTAACTGCATCGAAATGTACTTTTATACCATAGTGAGCTATAAATACGCAACGACCAATATAAAACCTAATTTCACGTTTCAAATTAACTGTAATAAACCCAGTTTTTAAAGCAGATTAACACTAATACGTGGGCAACCTACAAAATGAGTAGAACCATTTATTTTTAATCACTACAGAATCTAAATTTCGCATCACATCAACGAAAAAATTACTTTAAACAACGGCCCGACTTCAAGCCATTCGCAGAATTAAAAGTAATTTATTAATCTGACCTTGATTCTATGCTTATTTTAAACGGCAAGTAACTCCAGATCGTTTTAAAAATGGCCAAAACAAGTTTTAATCGAGGGGCATAAAAATACGTCGCAATCAAAATATTTGTTTCTATTTTGTTATATTGCGTCTCAAAATTACGGGGATGACTTATAAAAACTACCTATTATACGAATATAAGAACCGAAGGATCTGCTTATAATTAGTCTTGTAAGTATTAAATTAGTCTAAATGAATAAGAGGAAATAAAATTAAATTGGCGCTGTTTATATCCGAATACAGTTTGTCCTGTGCCATAAATATCATTTAAACTATAGGACACTATACTAGTTCCCGTGCATAATATTAAAAACGTAACATTAAAAACCATGGTGTCAAACACTAAATGAATATAAGACGCAATAAAAGCTAGAGAATTTTACTATTTCAATAAAATAAAAATTGCTGAAACACATGAGCTTTAATAGAATTTAAATTATGTGAGCTTCAGGGTCATACGTGAGTATTTTACTTTATAGACTAAGTTGGGTTTTATTTGAAATGAGAAGTCTCTCGATGTATTTCACAAATGTCTACTTTTCAATATACAAATTCTCTGTAGTGTTCACAAGAAAATGCTGACCCTAATAAACATATTTTCATGAATACTAAATCCTGGTACTCCGTTACTGACCACAAGTGAAGTTCTACAACACAGAAATATACCAGTAAAAATTTAAAAGCAAGTAGCAATCACCACAATATAAAAAAAACGTCGTTAGAGGCGCTAATGTAGCAAATGGCGCCTTAAAATATATCTTATCATTTTAGATCGAAAATAGGGCTAAATAGAATGAAATTGCAATATTATATTTAGAGAGACAACAGGTGTATTGTTTGACGTTTTTAAAAAAAAATATAAAAACATAAAAATATTTTCCTAAGACTCTGTCAGGAACATGAAAAACTATCATAAAATAAAATTGCAATTTCATACTTAGGTAATTAAATATTAGTAAATCACACAAAAAGAGTAAAGAAGTGTTAGTAAACAAAGAGCACATTAAACGTAAATGCAATGTATTATACAAAAAAATAACAAAAACATCAAGATAGCGAGTTAAGACATATTAATTAATTATATTATCATTCCTTTCTAGTTGTTATCAAGTTTGTTAAAAGATATAAATAACTGTTTTATCTGTAAATAAATAATCTGAAATAAATTAACAGGCCTATGTTCTCTCAATGGTCTTTCATGTTTTAACCCCAATCCTAATTCAAGTGAAGAATTTCCAATCAGAGTTGGATCAATAATTGCCTCAAGGACCTTAGATGTACTTAAATATTATTTGTTCCGAAAAGGTGCAATAAATTGACCTCCGTGACAAAAATCATGGCGCCGGCCAATTGCACGCAATAAGCAATGAAACGATTGAATATTGACCCATTTATGAATAGTACGTACAATCACAAGTTGTGTTCCAGTGCACCCGACAAGAATGTTGTCTCCAATTCGCAAAATTATCTTGAATCCTAATACGATGATTGGAATACCACGGTACTTCCTTTTTTTTCAACATCTCTTACACTAACTTATTATAAAAAACACACATTTTACTTATAATTAAAAATCAAACAGTACAGTTCTGTAACATGTCCTAAACGAGAATGGTGGAAAATTTCTTATTTCGAACCTGTTCCTTGTAGCAGAATGGTAACGTTATACTTGTCAATGAGTACAAAAGTTGGGTAACATTACACCTTTCTTTTGACGCATTGTAGGGTGAGTTTAGACAATGGACCCACGAGGCTTGACGCGTAACAATTAGAGGAAGCACCTTGTATATATGTACTACGTAATTGAATGATATAAATAGCGCTGCGATGATAATTAGTGCTGGCATTTGCGTGTCCATCGTTAAGACTTAAGATACCTAGGTCTTGTAAAAATACTGGGAACAACTCGATTATTCTTTACCACAGACCTACAAGCCAATTATAGAATTCTCGTACTTGTTATTGTAATTTACTACTTTTTTAAACCACATCGGTTGTCATTCGCGTCATCCTTCTCTTGGGAATTAATCACAAAAACATTATTATAGTACCGAGATATTTATTCAAAGGTCTACAAGTCTTTTTCATGCTCAAGAGTCTTTTAACGCAATTTAAATTCTAGGGTGCCTAAATAAACAGCAACCCGTCAAAGCCGACGTCACTGTGCTTAGTGATGAAGATCGTGACGTGACGTAAAGTCTGAGTTACTTATCGACTCGCCCGATTCGCCTAAACGGCAAACTAATGACACCCAACTTGAGCCGCCATAGAACGTGCGAGACAAAATCGATGGGCGACATTAAGCCTTTTCATAGTAGAGCTAGATTACTGTCTAAACTTTGAAGGGTACTTTTTTACGATGCGGTAAACGCTTTGGGGTTAGTGGTTCTCTTAAATTTTGCGGATATTATCGCTAAATTCTCTTTTCTTGTTTTATAGGAAATGAGCAGACGGATCACCTGATGATAGGCAATCAGCGCCGCCTATGAAGATGTGCCAGAGACTTTACAAGTGCGTTGCCAGCCTTTTGGGAAAGGGATGATTGGCCCTCCAGTAACCTCACCCCCATGGAGTCTTTCAAAAGATGATGATTTCATTAGTCTAACCGTTAGACTAATGAAATCATCGTTACGTTAGAGTCTAACGTGTTCTTTACTGTGCAGGGAGAAACAATGACATTATCTCCTACTGAAAGCTGACCCGTAAAACCCTTTGAACAAAATTCGAGACTTGCCATTTTGTTTTTTCAAGGGTAAAGGGAAGATAAAAGCCATATTTTCCGAGAATTCGTATCGAATCTCACACAAAGCCATAGAACTGACAGACTTATAATATTCAAGGAATATAATATCAATGTCTTGATAGAAAACCTTTCAATTCCCTCGTGATATCGTGAGGTCAGTTGGGGTCAAGGTCATGTGAGTGGCATCTGGTTATCGCAGTGTAAACAATATTTGTTTACATGAAGATATGGTGATGCGTCAGTCTTCCTCGAGTTAGCCTTGAAGACGCGAGCAGGTGACGGGCATATCAAGATTAAAGTTAGATGGATTTTATCAGGAAACTGATTTTTTATAACTGGAGTAGGAAATTGGAGAGTAAATGTATGTTTGTTTGTGAAAACTATCAATGATTACGGATTGGGAAT